GTTATCAAAAAAAAAAAAAAAAAAAAAGTATTGTCATATTAAGGTGATAAAAAAGCAAAAAAGTTGAGTACACATTGAGATTAACAAAAAGCAGAAAAGCATTGCAACTTATTTGCAGTTATTGTCACATTTGATGCAGACAGTCATCACTGTTTAGGAAGCTGTTTTGAGCAATAAATTATTGAAGTACTTTTACTGCCTTGTACTGTTATTGCTCCTGATACTGATTTAATTTTTGCAAATTTTACTTTACTCTTTTTTTTTGCTTTGCTTTATTCTGCTATATTTTTTAATTTACTTTTTATCTTCAACTGTTTTCTCTATCTTTATGCTTTATTTGAATGCAATAAAACGTTGAAAAATTCTTCTACTTTCTTAACTTTTTGCTGCTTTTTCTCTGCTGGGCAACAGAAAAAAGTATCCATTATAGCAAAAGTATTTCTGCTACATGCCGTCAAGACAATGTTAAATAGAAATGAAAAAAAAAAAAAAAAGAAGCAATTAAGGAACAGTTTTGTGGTAGGATGCACTCAAATTTCAAAAAACACCAATATAAGACTGATGACACTTTAAAGATAAACAAACAGATTGTTTCTGATGAATCCACTAAGAATCGAGAATAAGTGTTATCATCATATTTGTCACTGTCGTCTACTGCATGCAGCATACAGATCATACAGCTGATATTTGTTGTATTTCCTTGTTTCTTTTCATAACTTTTATACTCGTTATCTCCAAAGACTGCTTGGTTTCTGATGATAGTCTTTGAATAGGAAAGCAGAGGAAAACGTAGAACTTTTTTTTTTTAATCTATCTTTTTTATATTTGTTTAAACTACGTTGTCGGTTACATTCAACCTCTGGGCGCCAATCTCATAGTGCATTCGTAGGAAAGTTGATTTAAGAAACTATAATCGTCTTTACCATTCAATCAGATGCCTTACCTAGCTTTTTAATATTTCTTCTTACCAAAAAGGTTATATTGTTTAAAAAAAGGAACATTTAGAGCAAAAAAAGTAAGTTACATTAATAAAGCTGAAAAAATGTGCTATACACAATATTTCTTATCATTCATAAAGCATGCGAGAATTCTTAAGTACGTTAGGTGTTAGTGATTTGAATTCATCTACTTTGCTGTTGATACTACTTAAGATCAGCTGGCCGTCGCTCTGTCTGCAAGTCACTCTGAACTTCGTATATGTATATAAATAAATAAATAGATATATACATATACCTGCTGTTTAGCATTGCATTTATCCAGTAATTGATTCAGTTTCTCACTTGCCTATTTCTGTTTCACTTTGCAGCTATATGATTTAACTTTATTGCTTTCCAATTCAAGCAAATAAAAGCTTATTTTACTAAGAGTTTTTTTTTACTATTGTACCATTTTGTGTTTATGAAAGCAACAATTTTTAGCCAACTGAAATCAGCGAGCTTACGTACACACGCACACACACGCACACAGATTTCCACCTTTTGGCTGAATCACAAAACGCAATAAAGTGCTCTCCGTTTCAGTTGTTTTTCTGCAAATTTTTGTGGTTAGCAAAAACTTAACGTTCTTATTTTTCTTAACTGTGAGGAATTTTTTGGTAACATAACTTTTTGGTGTTTAAAAGAAAAGAAGTTAAAAAAGTGGGAAGATAAAAGTACAAATAAAAAAATGAGGTAATTTCTCGTTGTTGATTTTTGATTTCTCATTCACTATTGTCAATTGAAGAATTAACAACATTACAACTGTAGAAGACAAATCTGTGCAATGCTTTGGTCACTTTTTTCTTCTTTTTTACTTTCCGTTATTGAATTTTTAAAAAAATGTTTATTTTTTACGAGCTGATTTCCTGAACGTTTTTTAGACAATTCAATGAACTTTGATCTTTCTTCTAGCCAAACTTCTTGCAGCTATATACAATTTGTATCGTTATGCCAGCAATGTTTCTTATAGTTTTTAGACGGTTGATCAGTCTTGCTAAAAACATATCTACTTTTGCTACAATTAGTTGTTTATTATGTTATAAATTGACTTTAACCACCTTCAGATTCCAATCTTTTTACAATTTAACTTCAGATTACCGCTTGTACGCTTAATTTAAACGTGCATCGCAAAGAAAGAGTTTCTGAACTGCAATAAAATTTTCTTTTAGAGTCTTTTCACGAATAGGAGTAATAAAAATTTTGCTTTTTTATCACAAAAAATCGTTAAAAGTTTAATAGTTAAAAAAAACATTAATTTTAAAAAAGCTAAAATCTTCCAGGTAAAAATAAATCTAAATTACTCTTAGACAGTCGTCATTTAAATTACAAAAAAAATTTAAAATTATTAAAAATAAGCATATTTTGAACTTTTCAATGGTTAACGAAACCAAACAAAAAGCTCAGCAAGAACAATTAAACAAAGAAAACAGTTACAAAAGTTAAATGAAACAATAAATGTTTCAAACTAAATAGGAAAGTACAATTTATTATAGGCGAAACAGACGTAGATGATGGTACAACATTGAAATCTTACATTACAACAGTAATAACAATTTGAATAAGATGATTTTTTTTGTCTTCCACTTCCTCTTTGACTTTCTTGAGAACAGAAAATTTAAAAAAGCTTTTTTTTTTTTATAATTTTACAACTTCTTAAACGCTTAAATTAGTTTTATTTTAAGTCTTCTTAAAAAAGAAACGATTA